CAGCAAAAAAAGTTGTTGAATATTACATCGAAACTGCTGCAACCAGGTCAATCCATCGGTTGTGTAATATCACATTGTACGATGTACATCGATTTTGCGAACAAAATTACATCCATTGATGTAATATTGTATCTGCTTTTTGATATTACATCATTATTTCATTCATCAGCTTGAATTACGTTGATCGATATTACATTTTTTTTTGCTGTGCGATAACTTTCCATCTGTCAAATTTTAACCAAAAGTTAAAATAATCCACCAAATGGTTCAGAGCCTTAAATACAAAATATGTGAACTGTCAAATTAACCGGGTTGCCAAACATACCATTATACAAATAAAACAATCAGTTCAGGCATAACATTTGATAACGGCACAAAAGCATTTGTAAACAAACTTTCTAAGGCCCTTTACACGTGAACCAAAGTACGCTCACGCAAACGAACAATATCATCGGATAGGGGCAACTATCACCTTTCCGAAAGTGGTATTGGTTTGCGTGGGCGTACTTTGGTTCGCTTGTAAAGGGCCTTAGAAAGTTTGCTTACAAATGCTTTCGTGCCGTTATCAAATGTTATGCCTGAGTTTGATAACACCCTCACTCAAAAATATTACAAAACGGATATAGATTAAATTTTATGCATTTTGTGGTCTTTCAAAATGTATACATTGGTTCGATTAAAATTTTCGTCAAAACTATACTAAGTCCGAATAACGAAGTGGAATTCGGTCAGTGTTTACTAAAATGACAGGAAAAAGACCATCTGGATTCCCTTCGGAGCTTCGTGCTGGTGAAGAGCTTTGTCCCGGCGGATTTCTACTGCGACTGTGATCTGCTGGGCAGCATCTAAATTGTAAGTATTTTTTTTTAAATAATATTCATAAAAAATAAACTAATTAAAAAAGCTTCCTGAGACAATTTTTGTTTTTATTTGAAAACAATAATATTTTTCATAAATAAAATAAAGAAGCGAAAAATACGTTCTCTCGAATAAACCGTATATCTATGCATTGAAAGTATCCAGCTTTCCATGCTCGGTAATCGCGGCCTGTTTGTATGAATAAATGTATCCTTCACTGTGCTTTTTGACACTAACTGGAGGACGTATGTTGTTCCATTTTCTACTGTTCCTGGGAGAGGGAAAGGGAAGGGGTTGAAATTCGAACATCCAGATAGTGTCAAAAAGCACAGTGAAGGATACATTTATTCATACAAACAGGCCGCCATTACCGAGCATGGAAAGCTGGATATTTCGATTTTATACTATGGCACGCATAAACCATTTTTATACTAAGTTTGCATTCTCTCCCTTTATACCGACCCTTGCGTCGGTACGGAGAGTTGCTATTTAGCGTAACTTTTATACTATTTAGATTTCAATATTTTTTGAGTGCTCCACTGATGCAAATGGACGTAAGAATTCCATAAGATCCACTTATGAATGTTAGCCACAAGAAATCAGTATGAATTTCACTGATTTGCCTTATGAAAAATAATGATGACAAAAAAATAATAAAACGGGGCAGACTGGAACCGAACCATGGACGTTGAGATTACGAGGCCTGTGTGTTGAGCACTCGTCTTCCAACGCTTGCAAATTTGGTTATAGGCGTATAAGAGCTACCTCATGTTAGGCGAAAATAATTCATAAGTCGCGCTTATGAAATTCATATGTGTCGTTCATAGTTGAGCCTTATGAAATTCTTGAGTCTATTTGCCTCAGTGTCCGCTCTGCCGGCATAGCTGCACACGGCGAATGAGAACGACCCAAATTTGAGTTTAGTTCACTCAAAATCGCCAAAAGTGCAGGAACTCAGCGATGAGTAAAATTTGTCTCATGTTTTCACAAGTTTTTCCAGGGAAAAATTCCCGAATTTGAGAAAAGTAAAGATTGGATTCCCTCAGTCTATTGGTACTACTCCGAGACTGAATAAAATTTTCGTCAATTTCCTCATTTTCCGGCAGATTGTTTAGGTTTTCCATAGGAAACCATGAGACAAATTTACTCAACGCTGAGTTCCTGCACTTTTGGCGAATATGAGTGAACTAAACTCAAATTTGAGTCGTTCTCATTCGCCGTGCATACAAAATTCAAACTAAAAGCGCCAGCTCATCTTAGGACCAAATGAGCTGAAACTTTCGGATAATGGTTTTCTCACCTAAAGGCACAAATCTAGGGGTTGACCCGTGGAAAATTAGAACTTTTATTTTTGTGGGCCACCCTAATAAAATTGTTATGGTTATTTTGCTTAACGACGTGTTCTGGGTATCTTCCAAACCATTAGTGGAAAAGTTCAATTATTTGGGTTATCGTTCGAATATGGTTATTTTTTATTAGGGCAGTCTAGTAACCATGAGCCTTAAGGCACAGACAAACAGACATAACAGTCAGAAGAAAATTCTTCAAAAAGTATCGTCAAGCGTATTTTGCATGCGCACTAGCACCATCTATCATCCACATTCCCAAGCATTGTTTTGCAACCGGAGCATCCCTCATTCATGCATTTTTTTTTTCACTAGTTGCTTTTCCCTCGTTCTGTCAACGCGTCAGCTGTGTTGAATAAAAACAAAACAGATGGAAGTCAGTGATGTCGGTTCTACGAAATTTCCCGTAGATCAATTGATTGAATTCTGCAGAAATGCGGATCCGTAGGAAAAATTCACAGAAGCTAAGACTTTTTTTTAGGGATTTGTTTTGTTTGTTTATTGTGCTTTTTCTTTTGCTGGAAACAAGTTTTTAAACGAGGTAATGCATCACTTATTAGTGCCCTTTCTAAATGTAGATGTATCAATGTAATATGTATCAATCAATGGTGAAGTATTGAACATCAATAACTGGTAAAAGTTGATAGAATATTACAGTCATCAACATGATTTGTTCTCGAATTTTGTGTACATCGTACAACGTATTATTAGGAACGGAATGACTAGTGTGCAGCAGTTTTTATGTAATATTCAACAACTTTTTTTTTCAGTATTCGTCAGATGTGGTATGTGTCTCCAGTGGGATGGGATGCCTTGACCACTTATCATTTTCAAGAGCTGACATCTACTAACTAGACGTGAAAAAGAACTGGCATCACTGATAAGTTCGAAATGTGGTGGCTTGCTCAATGCTTCAGTGGCGCCACCATGACAAATGCAAGCACATCCCCAACTAAAACATTATTTGCGATGAATGTGATTGTGAGTGTTATGTCTGTTTGTCTGTGCTTAAGGTGACATCCTTATTCTAGTAACCACTTCGAAACTTTAAGTGCACACATATCAGCTTTTGCGACTCGTGAACATTTAAATTGTTACTCCACGTTTGCTGCACAGCAGTATACAGGAAGTAATAATTTCAAACGAAATGGGGTACTGATTTCCGAGATTGTGTAATTGAAAATTCGAAGTGAAAGTGCATGTATAGTGGTGGCCATTTGTGGACTCTACAAGGAATCACCTTAAAATGCACAAACACTTCTTCTGAGAGTCGGCTGTCGACAGATTAAATGAGAAACACATGAACAACTTACACGGCGAATGAGAACGACTCAAATTTGAGTTTAGTTCACTCATAATCGCCAAAAGTGCAGGAACTCAGCGATGAGTTAATTTGCCTCATGTTTTCCCAGGTTTTTCCAGGATTTTCCAGGGAAAAATTCCTGAATTTGAGAAAAGTAAAGATTGGATTCACTTAGTCTATTGGTACTACTTCGAGACTGAATAAAATTTTCGTCAATTTCCTCATTTTCCGGCAGATTTTTTAGGTTTTCCACAGGAAACCATGAGACAAATATTACTCATCGCTGAGTTCCTGCACTTTTGGCGATTATGAGTGAACTAAACTCAAATTTGAGTCGTTCTCATTCGCCGTGTATGCTTTTGGTCGTATCGCAGGCTTGAGGCGAATCCTGATCTAATTTCCTACCCAATTCTCCAACTCCGTAGCACTTATGAGGGTGTCGCTAAGTCGATGGTCTCTCGTTAAGTAAGTACTACATCAGCATTTCCTTCCTACTTACAATGCATTATTCCTGAAAGCAGTCTGACTGAGGATTTCAAAAGAGACGTGAGTGTCACTAATATCCAATCTACGAGGTATACCGTAACAACACTGACGCACTGACATTTACGATAAATCGGATTTGTTTCTTAATATGAAATAAAGCGAAATTCGGTTGGAGGAATGAGCACTTAAAAAAAATAATGCTCGAGTTTTAGAAAAGACGTGTTGATCGGAAATCTATAACAAATACTTCTTAAGGTGATACGGCACGTCATTCAACAATGGTTCTCCCCACAAACATTAAATAATCGTGGGTTGGTATGCGTATGAAACACATCTTCCTACAAAATAGTAAATTACTAATTGCATACCTTAAAAATGGGCCTGAATTGTATGAGTAAGATCTGAGTACATATTTTAACATTCTTCCACCAAAATATTGCCAATTCATTCATTGGTAATATTTGCATTAAAAAGTACGATCAGTCGATTTTGTTCTGCTCAGGGCATTAAATTCCAACAACTGTTTTCAATAGCTTTCACTTCTCAGAACCACACTAAAAAAAATACGACACGTGCTTCTACAAGCACTTTCAAGCGAGCTTTCAAGTTAATTTATTTTTAAAGACGATATTTACTTAAATACTGTCATTTGCATCGTTAAAAACGCGAGTCGCAAATAATGTTGTAAGCTGAAACTGTTTTGTATACCTTTTTTCTACACACCGCATTACGAAGGTGTGTGTACGAATCATCTATCATCGTATCCAGTGTTGTTGATTTAATTGAAACAAAGTGTGTAAAAACAATGCTTTTATTGCTTTTGATTGTGCTTAAACTGTGTTCAATTTAGAACATAACATTTTGTATGCACGATCTAAACACAAAATCTACGGGGCAGTCCAGAGAGCAATTGAATGGGAGTATGGCGAGTATGTCGAACCCTACATATTTTTGGTGACATCCAATAAAACTTCTTTCTGTAATAGTTCAATGTACTTTATTACTATCCGTTATATGCAACTGATAAGAACACGAGTCTATTTGTTAAGTAGTTCAACAATCTATTGAGTTCGAACGAAGAACAAAAGTGAGATGATATTTTTTTAAATCTTAATAAAAAAAAATCTGAAAATAAACTTGATTCTGATGCCGATACGAACTCAGCATAAAATTCAAAAAAATAATCACAAACAATTTTAGCACTAGTACGACTTCCATCGGCCTGGGGAGCAAACCAAACTGAAAAATAATATTCTATCTGTCATTAGGGAAACTGTTAATTTGTATATTGCGTGCAACTATGCATTCTGCTTTCAATATATTGGCAAATTTGCCTCAACTACATAAAATTTCCACGTGATCTCAGTGCACAATTCCCGTGGTTGACTATTTGCATTTCTTGAAGTGTTATTAGATGCTTAGTTATGTAACAGTAGGTATATAATTCGTGGGTATGTAACGGATCCAGCTGTGTCTCGTTCTCGTCTGCCATGTATGCTGCGCTCAGCTGTATAAAAATCGTACCATAGCAAATAATTTAATAATCCTACAACACTCAATCACATTGGTTGGGCCAGAAATCTGAAAGGGAATGTCGAAAGTTTACAAAATTTCTTTTCTATGATTACGCCGAAATCTCACCAAAAGCTAACTAGCTCGGCACATCGCCTGATCCGGTGCCAACGAGTCGAACGGATCCGACTGCATTCGGTTCTGGTTCTCGTTGACCGTACCCTCCACGACGTCCACCCGATGTTTTACCGGAACCTTCTCGAACGGTTGCGGTGACCAGAGGCGTACCTCGTGATCGATTCCGCTTGTTGCCAGCAGGCACACATACGGATGCGGTTGCACACAGTTCACAATCAGTTCGTCCGCTTGGTAGATGGAAGAGATCATACCGCTGTCGCGATCCCAGATGAAGAAATTGCCGTCGTCGGAACTGGAATGTAGATGAACGGGTGCGTAGAAAGTGGGAATATCTTTATGTCCACAAACCTTACCCGGCCACAATGTAATTCGAGTCTCCAAAGTAGTTTGCCTCCTTGATATCGGTCTTAGTATTGCAGTGTCCGACAAACCGGTCCTGATAGTCCAATGCAGCAGCGCGCCATGCCTGAAAAAGACAATATCACTCATTATTCGAACTAGCACCATACCCACAAGAACTGCGCAACCTCACCAATTCATTCACTGAAAACTGGTCGGAATCGGACTCCTGCGGTCGTTCCCGCTGCCGTTGGCGTTGCTTATCCAGCTCGGCTTCGATGTCCTTGTCCAGCATCAGCACGCCGTGATTTTTCGCATAGGAGGGAAACCGTTTGATCAGTTCTGTCAAGCAAGCCGAAGCATCCTGCAGTTGACCCAGTTTGAGCAGGGCCCGCGCCAACCGGAAGTGAGCCTTTACGTAGTGTGGATCCAGGCGCAGAGCCCGATGGCAGTCGCGGACCGCTGCGTACACGTCGCCGTACCTGGGGAAATAGCAAAAAAAAATCCATCAAATCGATTCAAAAGCTAGTTTCTAAACCGAACGGACCAGTTTCTTTTCATAAGTGCCGTGGCCCGGTTCAGATACAGAATGGAGCAATCCTTTTCCTTTGCCTTCCGAATGGCCAGCGTGTACTGCTGGATCGCCTGTAGATATTTCTCCTTCTCCAGGTTGACATTGCCTTCCTTTTTCATGTGTTCCACCTCCGGTGGAAGTTTGTGTTTTACCTTTTCTCCATTTTTCACAGTCGTTCCGTTGGTACCGTTGATAGGTTCGGTGAATTTCGGTAATTGTAAAAACTGGAAAATTCAAAATACCACCATCAAAACCGTAAAATCGGTATCGGTAAAAAGGTATTATTCTATACATACCACCGGTTCCCGAGGGTGGTTCAAGTCGTACAGGTAGATTTGCTCGGAGCCCATGTTCACTAGTAGCTCCGTACCATCCGGGCTAAACGTAAGATAGGTGATGGCTTTCTGATTGAAGATTGAGTACACGGTGTCTTTGTTACGGCTGAGATGACCGGGACAGTAGTACTGGACGCATCCCTCGCGCTTAACGTTATCCGTGTCATGCTCGTTCGGCTTGGCATCCACATTGGCGCTGAACTGGTAGATGGTAAGGAACGGCGGTCGGATTAGTATTATAGTCAAATTTGAACCGGTAGAGAAGCAAGCATCGGTGGTTCAGTGGTAGAATGCTCGCCTGCCACGCGGGCGGCCCGGGTTCGATTCCCGGCCGATGCACAGGCAAGTTTTTTTAAACGTATAGAATATATTGCGCTGTAGAAATCACAAAGGTAAGAACCGGATTGAAGAAATTTGTGGAAAAAATCGTAAACAAACACTTGTTCAACATTTGTTGAAACATGGTCGGCTTGGCACTAGAACACTGAATATGTCCATACAAGCTGTGAACAATGCATTAGAACCAACATTGGCAGATTCTTTTCGTTGCCAGGCTATTCGTGAATAAGGATACCCACAGCTTGTGGGAATTTTCACTAATTAGGGGAAATGTCTCTAATGTTGGCCTATGGATCTAAGATTGGGCCCATCGCTAAAAATCTGCTATTTATCAATTTTATCTAGATGAACGCGTTGGGACGGTACTGATGGATATTTTTGGTCGCTATTGAAAATTTAATCGATTGCTGAATTTATGTATGGGCCCAAATTAGAGGCATTTAGGCCGACATTACATCCATTTCCCCTATCCCATTTGTTTCAATATATAAAGCTGTTGTAATGGGTAAGACCAACAAGCCTGTGCCATTCGATTCAGGTTTAATTGAGAACTACGCCGTTAGAGGCGCTTCACTTTCATATTACTTATGACGGGCACTTATATATTATAATTTAGGTTCAACATACAATATCTCGTGATCCTGGCCATATAGAAAGTTGCTGTCTTGAGCAAAGTTGTTCAAATGACCACGGTTTTACAGATGGTGTTCATATTAGTTCAGAACTCTCTCACTACGTGGCGCTACTGTGCATGCAAACTTCCTGACTATGCTATGCTTCAAAAGCCTGCTGTGCAATGTGAGTATTTTCGGAACAGGGGGCCGTGTAGAGGCCGGATATCGATGCAAGACGCCATTTAGGAATCCAAGATGGCGGCTATCTTTTTTAGAAATACTGTCAAATACCCTACAATGTGGGTATTTTCCCAACGGGAACGACGTGTAGAGGTCGAAAATTGATGTTGGACGCCATTTTGAAATCCAAGATGTCGGCCATCGGTTTTAGAAATACTGTCAAATACCCAACAATATGAGTATTTTCGAAACGAGGACTACGTGTAGATGTCAAAATTCGATATCCGCAGTTTCTTTTTTTTTTTTTTTTTTCTTGGGCGTCTCTGGAAATCCCAGATGGGGAATCCCCTATTTGAGGGGGTGGGAGTTCCAGAGGGAAATTACCCTAACAACATAGTTTGTATCCCAGAGGGGATTTCCGAAAAAGGGCGTGGGGCCCCAGAAACAGAGTTTTTAGCGCCGGAGTTTTAAATTTGTAGGCCCTGGAAGGGAACCTCCGAGGGTGGGGCTCCGAAAAGGGGTCCCTTAGTGGCTGTCTTAATACTGTCATTTTGTTGAAGAATTCCGTTTTCGTTGCGTTGGTCTGTATAGTGGCTGATGTGGGTGGTTAGTTGTGAGATTCAGGTTCGGAGTGTGATCTGGTATGGTGGTGATGTTGATGATGGTGAGTTAGGTGATCAGATTAGATCCAACAGCTCAGCTTCCTGCAGGAAAGCTAGAAGGGCTGTAATTCTGGTAGGATCGTTACCGAAAGCATCGCGGATGCTTCCCGGGATGTCGTAGCGGGTTCTTGATGCTTCGTATTTCGGACAGTGGCAGATAATATGATCCACCGTTTGTGGAATTCGGCATAGATCACAGATCCTATGGAATGGTCCGTCGCCCTTGTAGCTGTGGGAGATGTTTGTATGATGTGTTCGAAGTCGGGATACTATGACCTGCTCTCGATGTATCGGTGGGTCCGCCCACTTGGAGATGTCTCTTTTAATTTTTCTGATGGCAGAGGTTTCACTGGTCGCCCAATCGCGAGCCCAACGTTCGTTGGTGATTTTTGATACCCATTTTTTGGAGGTCCTGACCAGGTACAATTCGCGTGTACTTGGCCACGAGGGGCAATTCACTGCTCTCAAGAATGAATCGAAAATACGTTTATGAAAAAAATACACAAACATTCATCATTACTCGTCATTACTCAAAAAAATGCAAAAAAATACAAAATTCGGAAAAAAAATACAAAAATATTCGACGAATAATAAAAATACACGATAATTCGTCATTTGGACGAAAAAATCGAAAATATGTACAATCAAAATGCTGAATTCGACCAAAATGTGTAAATTTATTATTTTGTATTTTAATCCGAGCTCGAATCACAAAACAATGCATTAATGAGTCGAATTTCGCCCATTTTTAAGAAAAGTGCCCTAAATCATTTATTAAATAAAAAAAAAAACATTTTGAGTAGTTGTGAGCCACAAATAAGTAACGATTATTCATTAATGCGTAAAAGATGCTTATTAATGCGTAATGAGCGAGGTAAGGGGCTGTTCATATACTACGTAGACAATTTAGGGGGAGGGGATGGCAATTATCCGCGACCCATACAAATTTTAAAATTTTTGTCTGGACTATTGTCTACGCAGGGTTATAAGTGGGGGGGGGGGCGAGGAAACCCAAAAAACTGTCTACGTATATAATGAACAGTCCCTAATGAGTTAATGAGTTAAGCCTCTTTTCTTTAAAATGGGTGAAATTCTACTCATCAGTGGGTATTTTAAAGTTAGCGTGTGTTGTGCATTTGTCAAACAAAACGTCAACATTGTGAGTTTGATCCGTTTGATCCTCGGTTCGAGTGGTAAACATAAACACTGAAATGACAGAATACACTTATAACTGATTTCCAATACATTAATGCATAAAAATACACTTTTATTTTTCTAATACACAAAAAAATACATATATTCAAAAAATACAAAAAAATACATTATTACACAAACTACACGTTTATTCGTTAAAAAATACTTCAATACGTTCATCAATACGTTGGCCTGAATCGAAAATACACAAGTGAATCGCCCCTCGCTTGGCCATACAACGACCTGAGTTGGATAGTTGGTCCGCTTTTACGTTACCATGGACACCGCAGTGTCCAGGTATCCACACAAAGACTGTGTTGTTTGGCGCGTGTTCCTGTATAGCCTGGATCCAAGGGTGTTTGCTCGTATCGGATTCCAGTGCGGCTACCACACTAGCGGAATCGGTGAAGATGGCTATTGGGTCGGTTGTCGGGAATGATGGCATTCCGCGAGGTTTGGACCGAAAATCCCGATTCCTACCTTGCCCTGGGCTACCGAGCCATCCGAGTACCGAATGGTGTATCCTCCGTATTTCCGGTTCTGGAGTTCGAGTACCGCTTGTGCCACCGCTGAAGGATTGGCACCAGCTCTGAATTGGTGTTTGATTGTGTGGTCGGTCAGAATCTTCGGCTTGGTCCAACCCCTCGCTCCGACCCAGTAAACCTTGGATATTGGGGGGAGAGTCGGGTTGGATGCTTCCCTGAGTAAATTGTTCGCCTCCGTGATGAGGGAATCTTCCTTGTCGTCTCCTGATGTCTGCTGGTAAAGTCCGATGGCTCGTTAGCAGATAGTTTTGGAGATGAAGGATGATCTCCTTCGATGCAAGCAGCTATTCCGGGGGTACCTGGCATCTGTCATTTTAGAATCTAAGATGTTTTTTTTTAATGTCAAAAACCCACAATATGGGTATTTCTGGAACGGGTTCGACATGTAGAGGTCTAAAATCAATGGTTGACGCCATTTTGAAATCCAAGATGGTGGACATCGGTTTGAAAAAATGTGGGTATTTTCGGAACGAGGACGATGTGTAGATGTCATAATTCAATATCCACCACCATTTTGGAATCCAAGATGACAAATACTTTACAATATGAATATTTTAGGAACTGAGACGTCGTGTACAGGTCGAAAATCTATGTCCACTGCCTATCGAGGGGCACACAATACAAAGAACTGGTGCGATGAAGTTAAAATGCAATCAAAAGTACTTAAAGTAATTAATGCGTTTTGAAGTAGTACTGATGGTAATTAAAATTATCAATCCGTACTTTGACTATATGTTTTTAGTATTACTTCTACGTGAAGTCAACGATTTACATAGTTGAAGATGCTAATTTCAAATAACAGACTGTAGTGGTAATTTTTATACGATAGATGGAGTAGATGAAAGCATAGAGTTGATAATTCCGTTAGAGTACGGCAGTGTGCACACTGCCGTACTCTAACGGAACTATCAACTCTATGCTTTCATCTACTCCATCTATCGTATAAAAATTACCACTACAGTCTGTTATTTGAAATTAGCATCTTCAACTATATCAATCCGTAATTTATATAATTAAAAGTATTGAAATGTAATTAATGTACTTTAATTACGAAATTTCAACTGTAATTAATGGAATTAAAAAGTAGTTAATGGAATTAATTTAATTACAGCCGTTGCCTGCGTTGGAGTTAAAGGTTATTGCGTTCCCCTAGCTGCCAATTTTGAATCCAAGGTGGCGGTCATCAGTTTACGAAAAAAAAACAGTCAAATACAGGTGGATCTTGATTTGGACATGTTTCGATTTTGGAATGCCTCCATTTTGACAACATGGTATTCGTTTTTGGCAACAACAAAAAATATCTGAAAACAGTCATGCCTAAATGAACCCCAAGCGAGGGTCACGCACAAATTTTTCAATACTGCGCAGCCCAAACAACAAATATTTAAAATCTTATCATTATTGCATTCATTACGTTAAATACACTGTTCAATTATTAGGAATAATTAAAAAAAACTGTCAAAAAATAGTATTTGAAATACATTCAATTCTACACAAAATATTATTAGCTAGGGGAAATTACGGCTTCGGCATGACAGACTATTTTCGGCAACCTAAATTGAAATGCAAATTTCACTGGGTTCTTACGAGAACACTTCGCTGAATGCATTGAAACATTCAAACGATTATTTAGGCTTTCAGCTTCAATTTGATTATATTTTTACCACTGAGAAAAAGCATTCTAGCAGGGTTTGCTTGAAATGAAACACACGCACTACAAAATGCTGCTGATTTCGAGTTACCGATGAAATCACAGCTGTTTAACACGCAGCTCAAATAGAAAGCTTGCCGAATAAAAAGATGTTGCCCACAATAGTCGGTCTCACTAGAGAAGATTGGAGCTTTGCAAAACCGTTTCAAAACAGTTTTTGACAATTCTTTCGACTGAAATCGTTAGAGCAGCTGGCTGCATAATAGATTCTTCGATGCTTGGTATGTAAATTATTTTAAGTGATTCCTAATCTTCTGTTCGTCATTAACTCTAGTTCAAAGTGGTAGAGCCTAGGGCTGTGATGCACGGTAAATATCGGTGTCATTGGATGCTTTTGTCTCCAAGGAATCCGATTCTGATTGACAATTGGATAATTGCCTTTGGATGGTGCTCTCACTCCTCGACGGGTATAAATAGCGGGACCTTAGGCAAGAATGACAACTGTATCAAAACTGAATACCTTATCCTCGACCTCATCATTTCTCAATAACTAGTGAATGAGTTATACGATAAGTCATGAACTAAGGACACGGGATATACAACAATAGATCAAATTACTGATCGCAGGGGATTTGTCACTAACAGAAAAAAATAGTCCCACTATGCAAAATCCTTCAATCAATCAACAAACAAGTTATCATTCAAGACTCAACTGACTGCAGCAGTATGGCTCGTCAACAAAACAACCGAGAATCTGATGTAACACTCTCAATTTTGATAAACACAGCTTTGTGCGCCACTCGCGATTTGCGTGACCAAAATTCGTTCGACTTATTATTAGCTCACGCATTCTTATCGCGTCATCAGCACGCGTGAAAACAGATTTATGTGCAAATCATTCGCACTACAAACTCAACCCACCCGACACTAATCCTCGATAGTATAGAGGTCAGTATCCCCGCCTGTCACGCGGGAGACCGGGGTTCGATTCCCCGTCGGGGAGGATTTACTTTTTACCCCGCTCCACCTACCTTCATCAGCGACAGCATCCGTCGATCGTAGATCCTCGCGTAGCAATCGTTCGCCCCGATTGCCATCTGTTCCGGGCGGTGCGGATTGATTGAAATGCACTTTACCTCCGGCATCTCGTTGATGTGGTTTTTCAGATTGATCAGCACATTGGCATCGTTGGCCCGGCAAGCGTGGGCCGTTCTCATATCATGCTGCAGCACCTTGCCATCTTCCGCCGCGGACCAAAACAGGTTCGTGTGCTTCGGCGTCGTAGCCAAGCGTTTTATCCGTTGCCCATGGCAGATACACTTCCGAATGGGCTGATCGTTTCCGCGATTGATGTCAAACACAAACATCCGACAATCACCGGCACCAGTCAACAGCACGGAATTGTTCCGCTTAGGCAAGAATTTGACCGAGAAAATGTTTCCATCATGCGGAGTTTGCAAATCCAGTATCTGCTTGTGAGTGAATGGATCCCAAAGCATCACATGAAAGTCATCGGAAGCGGAAGCCAACAGGCGGCCATTATCACTCCATTCTAAACAATTCACACAACCGTTGTGTCCCTTTAGCTCTGCCTCTAGTTCGATCTTGTCGATAAACTGTGGAGCAGTTTTCAGCCGATTTTTGACGATGTGCTCGATATCGCTGTAGTTGCGGTTGGCCAGAATCTGTGCCACATTCGTCACATTCGGATAATTGTACTTCCGCTTCATCGCGGACGATACTGAATGATTGCTGCCTGAAAATATGCAATCAACATATAATTTTATTATTACAGGCACAAACACAAAGTCCTCAGCAAATACGCTTTCGTAAATATAATATATTATGTATTATGAATGCGTAAAGTAGCATAAATTGTTCAACCAGCTGTTTCTTGCTCGCACCACCGTCCTTGTCCTTCTTTGTATCATCGAAACGCTTATCAGTTACAAATAATTAACGATTAATGCATAAAGATTATTCCAGTTTCAACTAGCTAAACTTAACAAACTAAAAGCTGAAGCTCGTCAAAATAGAAAACAAAATTGGAACGTTCATTCAACACTAACTTTTTCTGATTATTTCTGAAAATCCGACCGTCAGACTGCAAAATCATAATCGACCATTTCGGTCGCAAATTCCATCGATCAAAGTCAAATAAAAGCAGGAAATTAATACTTACAATATTAATTTTAAGTTCCAGTTACTCCGGTGCCTAAATATGAAAAATTTTACTCTAATTTATTGGAAATAAATTGCACAAAAATATTCCTCACTATTTTCACTGCGGAGACGAGTAAAGAAAACAACTTTTTTGCTTTGCTTTGATCGAACATCTGTCAAAATGGTGCTTTTTGGGGTGTAGGAATCTGAAGAGGCCACTGTGGGAAAAGAGCGAAAAGAGAGATTAAAAGATCTGTCTAGAAATGAAATATTTACTGACCCTTCCAAAAATGGTTTATTTTCCATGCTTAACGGATGGCACAACCTTAACGAGCTCGAATGTGTGATAAAGTATTCTGACTGTATCAGGTAAACATTCCTGAAAAGTTCGTAACCCTTATAAACGGGTACCATACACGGATAGAAATCCCCTTATACCTTTTGGCAAATTTCTATTGCTGATTATTCATAAAATGTATGAGTCAGCCCGCATAAACAATAACCATAAAATGCGCCTAACCGCCAATTCGGGATATCATCCCAATTTTATGTGGTATGGTCGCACCATCTAAGATATCGTCAGTATATGGTACACGTTTATTAGGGAGCATATAAGCAGATGCCTTGCAAAAAGTTAATGAAGGTCATGTGTCAAATGAAGTATATAAATGGTCACACATACCGTTTATGCATTATTATAGGACCTATGTGGTTTGTCTTATGGAATGTATAAGGCTATGTTTTGGCAAAAATGTATGAATAATATTTACTTTGATGCTGTTTGGAAAATTTCAAAAGCAGTTTTTTTTCCGACGAATTATTTCAGATTGCAAAAAGCTCACACTATTCGATTGCTTTTGATATTTTACGCAAAATGACGCGAGCTTTTTGCAATCTAAAATAAAACTGCTTTTGAATTTTAAAAAAATGCATCAAAGTTAATTGAACCTTAACTTTTCCGAATATACTTAAAATATCTTTCAAAACCGAAAACGGACACATTCCAAATTTTCATTTCGGCAAGAATACGAAAAATAACTGTCAGAATGAAATCGACCACTCTGTTAGGAACGCATGAAAAGCGATAGTGCTAGCCAAGCTGAAAAGAAGGTTAAAATAGAGGACGATCTTCAACCATCGGGGAAAAATTCGTTTGACTATAAAAAATAAGGTTCTTACATTATGCCCTACTTGCGTTTTGGCCTCGGTTTTGGCACATTGTACGGAGTGACCATCCTCTTGACTGATATTTTTATTTTTAAGTCTAGAGCCGCGTTCGCATTGACTTCGTTTGATAGCTTTTGAACTAAAGTATCGTACCAAACGCATAATTAACTTGTTAACTCTGAAATCATGGATTTATTTGATGTTTTCTCCTCGATAGGCCCAAAATGGGTGATTGGGCCGAAGTAGTACTCTACCCTACGTGTTGCTTTTGCTGTTGGATAAGAATCCCAAAACTCGGATCACCATCCAGGAGCTACTGAAGACGGAATGGATGACGCAGGACATCAATTCGTCACAGTTCAATTTGGCCAAAATCGCGTCCTACGAACCGTAGCAAACCAATCCGGAGAACTACTACGTATATGTGAATATCTGCTCCCGCAAGACGGTACTATCAACAATCAATACGAAACTAACGATTTTAAATTGGCTCACTACTTGACTAGCCTATTGGTCTCAAGCAAACGACTAACGACCCCATTATAGTATAAATTCCATTACTACATTATGTTTGTTTTGATTCGCTATGAAAGTTTGACAGATAATATGAGGGGTTAGTGGATTTTCTTATGTTTCGAGGGGTGCATCGATTAGCTTGGGACCGAAGATAGTACCAGAGCTGAGCCAAAAATTTGAGCTCGTTTCTTCGGGACCTTCTGGTCTTAGAGTTACCTCTATGGTTGTACGATGTACATTGATTTTGCGAACAAAATTACATCCATTGATGTAATATTATATCTGCTTTTTGCTATTACAAACGGTAAATGAGTATATGCGTATTTCCAGGCACAGTAGAACTTTAATTGACCACGTTTATTCCAATTTTGATTCCATTTGTTCAGTTACGGATACTGAAAATAACCGATCATGAGACTTTAGTGATTAATGTCTTAGACCATGTTAACGATAACGATAATTTTGTAAAATTGAAGTGCTGGAGGAAATATTCGAAGCAAGCTGTTTCGAATCTTGTTGAGAGAAGTCTGGATTTTCCATTCGCGACCGGTAACTTAGATGAATCTACAGCTGTTCTTAATAACGCTTTGAAAACGTGTACCAATCAACTAGTTGAGCAAAAGTTTGTTTCTTTGAAAAACTCGAACAGCTGGTACAATTTGGATCTTTTGCGTCTTAAACGGAAAAGGGACAAATGGTACAAAAAGTTTTGTAGATCTAATAATGACAATCATTGGACTAGGTACACAATCTCGCGTAATAAATATTCACAATCGATAAAGAAAACTCGTTGTGAATATGTTCAAAGGAAGATTGATCAGCATCAAAACAACAGCAAAGAGTTATGGAAAATTTTGAAATCTTTATTAAAACCTAGTAATTACAAACCGCGGTCCATAACTTTTAATGGCACATTAGAACAGTCAGAACAAGTAATTGCAGCTAAGTTTAATGATTATTTCGTAGATAGCGTTTCATTGATTAATCAATCTATTGAATTGGTCGATGAACCTGACGAAATAAAACAACCAGTTAATAGTAGTTGTAGATTTGAAGTTTTTCACCCAATCACATTAGATGAACTAAGAGTTATTTGTTTTTCATTAGGAAAATCGGCTGGAGTAGATAATGTTAATGCTAGAGTTATTCAAGATTGCTTTCATGTCATTGGCCACATCTTGCTGGATTAATGAATCATTGCAAACTGGACATGTGCCACAAATTTGGAAGGAATCCTTAGTGGTCCCTATTCAAAAAGTTGCTGGAACGATTAAAGCCGAAGAGTTTCGTCCCATCAACATGTTGCACACATTAGAGAAAATTTTAGAACTTGTTGTTAAAGGCCAGCTGTTGGAGTATTTAAATAGTAATAGTTTGTTGATACCAGAACAATCGGGATATCGGGAAGGTCATTCTTGTGAAACCGCGTTGAATTTGGTATTAGCGAAGTGGAAAAATAACCTGGAGTGTAAAGATACGATTGTTGCTGTTTTTTTTGATCTTAAACGCGCTTTTGAAACAATTTCTAAGCCCTTATTGTTAAGATCAATAAAGCGCTTTGGAATTACGTATACTGCATATAAATGGTTTGAAAGCTATTTGTCTGACAGAACTCAACGGACTGTTTTTAATGATTCTGTTTCCAGTCCCGTGGGGAATAACCTTGGAGTGCCCCAGGGAAGTGTATTAGGGCCCCTGTTATTTATTATGTATATTAATGACTTGCGACGTGTTTTACGATTTTGCGACATTAATCTTTTTGCAGATGATACTGTGTTATTCATTGCAGCTAAGGATTTAGATGATGCCGTTTTACACTTGAATGAAGATTTGCGTTCTCTAAGTAGATGGTTGAAGTATAAGCAGTTAAAATTGAATACAAGTAAAACTAAATTTATGGTAATTTCGCGGAATCGAGTAAATGAGAACGTCTCTATTGTAATTGATGATGAGACTATTGGTCGCGTTCGGGAGATTAAATATCTCGGCGTGATTATTGATGACACACTTAAGTTCAACTCTCACATTGACAATGTCATCAAGAAAATTGCCAAGAAGTATGGAATTCTATGTCGACTGAAAAACTATTTAACTATTGCCAGTAAAATACAGCTATACAAATCAATCATCTCTCCTCATTTTGACTTTTGCCCTTCCATTTTATTTCTGGCCAATGCAACAAAAATATCGAGATGACAGCGCTTGCAGAATAAAATAATGCGTTTGATTTTGAGATGTAATAGATTCACTTCCTCAACTTTGATGCTAGACGCCTTACAATGGTTGTCAGTGAAGCAAAGAATTGTATATTTGACTATGGTGTTCATTTTTAAAGTAGTTAACGGTTTCCTGCCTCGATATTTGTGTGATCGAATTGAAAGAGGAAGTGACTTTCATAGATATAATACTAGAAACGCGGTTGAAATAAGAACACCACATTTCTTGACTTGTGCTTCACAAAATTCATTATATTATAAAGGAATAAATGTTTTCAATTCGATGCCTACCCGAAAAAAAATTACAGTGAAATTTTCAGTGGAAACAATGCTCTAACATTAATATATATTGTCGACAGTAAAAATGATTGTTATAATGTTGTACTCTTCCGAAAACGGCAAAACTGCTACCTAGCTGTACAATGAATGTACATAATAAAATGTTGTTACAATGATTTTTATCGTATTTTTCATTTATTTTATTGTTAACATGATTCGATCATGAACAATAATGAACAACTCTATTACAATAAAAATTGTTGTTACATTAAATATTGGTGTGTTTTCATTGTGGGTTACTTCACGAAAAATAAATCTGATTGAAGCATGTAGACTATGAGAGGGTCAGCAACACTGCCAATGTAATCAAGATATGCGCTGCTCGTATGGCTCTGGCTTTGACAGTTCGTTTGGCTCAAAACCAGCAAGCCTACGACCAGATCGGTTTAAGTTGAATTCAACTCACCTGCCTCATCTAAATCCCTCTTAATGCAGACCTTTTCCGTGCAGTCAATAATCATACAATATAATAATAAAAAATTCCACCACATGAAGATGTCAGGAAGCAACTCTCAGGTGGAAGCATATTTCATGGGCGATTCTCTCCAGTCGAATTCATTAACTTATCAACGACGCTCAACCACCAAGGAGACGTGACCTAGAGAGATCGAGTGCAGGGGAGTTGGCCTCCATTTCTCACAAGTTCCGGATCGAATCTCAATCCATAACCAGTAAAAAAAGGGACTCACCCGTAACAGACATACCACCCTCTTCCCTTCCCGGGGCGATGTTTTATTTTTTCGATTTATTTTTAAAGTCGATAAAGTAGATCTGTCAAGCCAACACATACACTCTAAAGTACACTGTTATTTTTTTAAATCAATTAATTCGCCAACCAACAGTAAAATAACAATAATAAAGGGTGATACGGTCAAAATTTGGTCAATATCAACTTGACGTATTTCTTTCAATTTTGCATTTAAAAAACCTGAACACCCCTCATTTTGAAGGTGTGTGTGTGTAGAATGTTGCTCCTATTTTGATTTTGGAATTCACTCTTCAGTTGTCAAAATGCCATCCAAGCAAGAAGAGCAGCGTATCAAAATTTTGCTCGCGCATCGCGAAAATCCGAGCTACTCGCACGCAAAGTTGGCAAAATCGCTAAAAGTTGCCAAATCAACCGTTACAAATGTAATTAAAGTGTTTGGGGAACGGTTGTCGACAGCCAGGAAGTCTGGATCGGGGGGAAATCGAAAACCGGAAGCCGCTGAGACGACAAAGAGAGTTGCCGGTAGTTTCAAGTGAAAACCTAACCTCTCTCTCCGAGATGCCGCAAATAAGCTGGGTGTATCGTCTACAACCGTGCATCGAGCCAAAAAACGAGCCGGACTATCGACTTATAAGAAGGTAGTGACTCCAAATCGCGATGATAAACAAAATACGACGGCCAAAGCGCGATCCCGGAGGCTGTACACGACGATGCTGACGAAGTTTGACTGCGTGGTAATGGACGACGAAACCTACGTCAAAGCCGACTACAAGCAGCTTCCGGGACAGGAGTTTTATACGGCAAAAGGAAGGGGAAAGGTAGCAGATGTTTTCAAGCACATGAAACTGTCAAAGTTCGCAAAGAAATATCTGGTTTGGCAAGCCATCTGTACCTGTGGCTTGAAAAGCAGCATTTTCATAGCTTCCGGGACTGTCAACCAAGAAATTTACGTGAAAGAGTGTTTGAATAAACGTCTGCTGCCTTTCCTGAAGAAACACGGTTGTTCCGTACTGTTTTGGCCGGATTTGGCATCTTGCCATTACGGTAAAAAGGCCATGGAGTGGTACGCCGCCAACAACGTGCAGGTGGTTCCCAAGGACAAGAACCCTCCCAACACGCCAGAGCTCCGCCCAATTGAGAAATACTGGGCTATTGTCAAGCGGAACCTAAAGAAGACCAAAAAAACTGCTAAGGGCGAGCAGCAGTTCAAGGCAAACTGGCTTTCTGCGGCGAAGAAGGTGGACAAGGTGGCTGTACAAAATCTGATGGCAGGGGTCAAACGTAAGGCCCGGCAATTCGGATTTGGAAAAGCGGAAGCCTAACTGAATATTTTTCCTGAATTTTATACTAATTGAACTTGAAAAAGAAATTTAATTTGATTTTTTAAATAAACGATTTCACCGATTTACACGCGTTTTCCCTTGACCAAATTTTGACCGTATCACCCTTTATATAATGTTATTGAAAAAAATATATATGGGGAAATCACGAAAATTTCATTGTTAAGATACTTAACAACCCCCCTTTTTTATTGTAAATTTCCCATTTACCATGAAATTTACTGTTTTGTACAACATAAATCAAGGTAAATTTATTGTAGACGTAACAATATAAATCATTGTTAAGACAATAATTTTCATCTTATTGTTACATTGTTTTTTAATGTATTTTTGTTGTTATTTTTTTCGGGTAAGCATTCACTATGTGTTCATGCGTGCACTCCATCAAACGAACACACACCTCAACGTGAGTACAATGTTTATGTTCGTACATCGTTTGCTTCAGCGGTTGAACATCGTTCGAATTCAAGTGCATCAACCAGGCATTGGCGTTCGAAATAATGAATGATGCTAAAAATAATTACAGGTCAGGCTCGAACCTGTATGTGAAATGTGTGAAATGTATGATGTGATAGCAAAAAGCAGATACAATATTACATCAATGGATGTGATTTTGTTCGCAATATCGATGTACATCGTACAATGTGATATTACACAACCGATGGATTGACCTGGTTGCAGCAGTTTCGATGTAATATTCAACAACTTTTTTTTGCTGTGTACCTGGATGTTTACCACTCGTCTGCCATTACTCTGAAAGATTTGAAGGCTAAGAGCAACCGTACCAATGAGTAAATAAGGCACATTTACCAACCTCTACCATAACGCTACTTGCGTACCGGGGTTACTATTCAGGTGGGGGGAATAGCAATCCGCACCTTGGGAAGTAGTGAGTTCATAAATTTAGCAACCCGGTATTGATACGTGTGGGCTTCGCTGATACACAGCAAAAAAAGTTGTTGAATATTACATCGAAACTGATGCAACCAGGTCAATCCATCTGTTGTGTAATATCACATTGTTCGACGTACATCGATTTTGCGAACAAAATTACGTCCATTGATGTAATATTGTATCTGCTTTTTGCTATTACATAATTATTTCATACATCAGCTTGATTTACGTTGATCGATATTACATTTTTTTTTTTTGCTGTGTAGCATTAAAATAAATATTGAACGTTATTTCTTTTGAGTGTGTATTTTGTTTTGAATCGTTGCGTTCCTACCCCTCACCAACTAATAAAAACTGACAACTACTGGGTGCAACGGGTGCAGCTGCAATCATCATCGGTCGATGACGATTCCCGCTGACGGTGATGTGTCAAGTTGTCAAAACAGAAAAGTGCAATCATCGGTCGTTCCCGTACAGGAGATTCTTCTTCGTTCATTCTAAAGTGGGCAGCACGTAATAATGCTCAATTAATTGGAAAATTCTGCTTCAAATCGTACTGTAGAAACTGGAAATCGAAGAACGTGAACCCGGAGCAACATGTCCAGTGCACGGGATTTGTTTAGCCTACCGGCCGGCCCAGCCGATTTGTGCTTCGACAAGAACGAGTTTATGAAGGTAAGTGGTTGGTCAGATTTGAGAGTGAAAAATGATTGTTTCGTTTCTGCATTCCAGAAAACATTTTCCGTGGATGAGTTTTTGCACGAGAACCGGAATGCAGGAAGTTTGGAAATCATCCGCGATGATTTGGGATTGTATCTAAAGGTGCTGCGTTCGGCTATGATCGAGCTGATCAATCAGGACTATGCGGATTTTGTGGATCTGTCGGCGAATTTGATCGGGTTGGACCAGCAGATTTGTGGGATCGGGACGCCGCTGGAAAAGTTAAAGGACGAGATACTGGCGGTGAAAGGAGCGCTGGAGGGAACGATGCGTGAAATTTCGGACTGTTTGGAGCAGAAGAAGGCGCTGAGGGGGTATAAGAAGAGCCTGCAAAGTCTTGGGAAAGTGCAGGGGGCCTTGATCAAGTTGGAGAGTTTGTTAAAGCCGGTGGAAGGGAAAGAACAGGAAGTTAATCCGACGCTGCTGGAGAGGGCTGCATTGGAATCGATTCAGCTGCAATTCAATATAAAGTTTTGCCGAGAGTTTTTGAACGACGAGCAACAGCAACAGTCGGAGCAGATGAAAGCCAGTTTGCTAGATCAGTTGAAGACGTATTTTCTGAGGACGTTGGCGCAGAATGATTTGGATGGGCTGGAAAGATGTTTGAGGATCTATTGCACACTGGATGAGTGTCGAACGGCGGAGGAAGTTTTCAAGGTGGAGATTGTGTCGCCTTACATGAGTCGAGTTGTGTCCGAGAGCAGTTTGCAGAATTCTCCGCAAGGGTTGACGGGGATTTACAATCAGATTTTAGATTTTATGTCGCTTCATATGAAGATCTTGCTGACACTGACCAAGAAGAACGGCAAAGTAAAAGGATATAACTTTATCGTCAACAGTTTTTGGACGGAAGTCGAGCGGCGGATGGAAACGAACATGTCGTCGATATTTGCTCCGGGAAATCCGGAAGCATTCTATCAAAAGTACAAGTGTACTCTGGAGTTTTTGGAACGAATCGAGCTTATCATCGAAGATCCGGTTGATGTTGCCGGTTTCAAAGCGCATCCTCAGTACAAGAGTTTCCAGATTCGATGGAACCTTCCGGTGTACTTCCAGATTCGCTTCCAGGAGATTGGATCCAATCTGGAGAAGTCTTGCAACCGTAAGTTGGAAGCAGCGAAATTCAACTCACAGCAGATCAGCGCTAGCCAATTCAATCTGGTGCAGTTTTCGATTGCTCTAACGTGCATTTCCAACTGCTGGCAGGAAGGAATCTATCTGCCACAACTGTTTCATAGATTTATCAAATTGACCTTGCAACTGCTATCCCGGACTACCAGCTGGGTGGACACGGCCATCACTTTTAACTTCCCTGCACCGGCAGATCCTCAGTCGCCTTCGTTGAAGCTCAAACTCCTAGCCACACTCTTCTCGGATATTAACAATCTATCGAAGAAAATTCCCCAGATAGTGAGTTTAATCTTGGAGAAATCACCTTCCTTCCTTGCCCTAGATGCACCCCAATTGGACGAAGTTTTTTTCGACAACCGATCGATGCTGACAACTAAGCTAAACCGACTGCAGACGTTGATCGTCCAGGAATTGGTCCAGGCGAGCATTCCGCACATCAAGCAGGTCAGCGACATTCCCAGATTGTATCGGAAAACAAACCGAGATGTGCCGAGCAAGTGCTGCCAGTACATGGAACTACTGGTGCAACCTAGTCGAAGCTTTCGGGATCGATACTGCGGCATGGTCGGAGACGAACGGTTGAAGGAGTTCCTTGCCAATGTGTACACCAGTTTGACGTTGAAGTGAGTATAGTTGGGAATTTAAATTAAGTTCGTTATTAAGTCAACATTTTCCATTCTAGCTACTGTCAAGCGGTGGACGAGGTCCTGACGTCGGTGCAGAAAACCGAGGAATCCCTGCGACGGCTGAAGAACCTTCGCGATCGCAATACAAATCCATCCACGGCGACGACGACATTGACGCCTTCCGGCAACTCCCCCGCAGACCGGGCAGCCATGTCCGACGATGACAAGATCCGGCTTCAACTACAAGTGGACGTGATTCACTACGTACAGGAAATCGAAAGCATAGGTCTGGCCCGGGGAGAAATCGAGAAACTAGACGAACTGGTGCAATTGGTCGAGGAGGCAACCAAAATTAGGATAGGAGCAACCGGAAGTATAGCAAAGATGTGAAATGCGCCAGGGAGGTTCTTTTGTCCGTTCTAGATGAGTTGGATCGTTTTCTTGGAATCGTGTAATTTTAACGAAAGATAAATAGCAAATCCGGTCGCCATCATCGATCCGCCAGTCGAGTTAACTTAAAACGTTCTAATATATACACACACACATTTTAGGCATTTGCGCAAGTTATAAATTATTCTTTAAAACTGTCAACCAAATACGGAAGAAAGTATAGAACAAAGCAACAATAACAACATACCTTAAATATAGTCCGCCATCGGTATCACTTCCCCACCTTCTGCTCCTCTTCTGCTTCCTCTCGCATCATCTGCTCTATCAACCGCTTCCGTTCCTCCGCCTGTCGCAACTGCCTCAGCACCAAACTCTCGAAGTCCCGCTCGGTGATCGTACTGGAACCTCCCGTTCGGGAATTTTTATTCTTCGGAGCATCCCCGATCCACTCCAAGCTGCACGGATTGTCCAATCGTCCCTGTTCATAGCTAACCGCCATCTCCGCAGCCTCTTGGGTCTTGTATTCTACCAGAGCGCTTCCGTTCTTCTTCGGGCTCATCACCAACACATTAATGTCCCCATACTTCGCCAAGAACTTGTTCAAAACGTCCTGGGTGTACCCTCCGTTCTCCGGATCATTCTTCTCCGCCTTCCACTTGATCTTAATTCTATGTTTTGAGGCATCCCAACTCGACTGTGCCTTGCCCTGCATTGCTTTCTCCTGCCGCAGCTGCTGTCTCATCAGTTCCTGTTCCTCTTCCATCAGCTTCGATCCTTCCTTCTGCAACCGCTCAAATTCTTCCCGGAACAACTCCTCCGGCGTCTTGTTTACCTTATACCCGCCACTGGCCGCTTCCCTCGCCCTCCGCTCCCTTTCTTCCAGTTCCATCTTCAGCTTCTGCCTTTTGCTGTCCAACTGCGTGGTCCTCAACTGAGCGGCTTTCTTTGCATTCAGTAGTTTGTCGTACGCCGACCGAGCGGATCCATCGAGCAAAATCTCCAACGTTTTCGACAGCTCCTGGAACAACTCCGCTGCTTTCGGGTTGTCGGGATTCTTGTCCGGATGGCATTGTAAGGCTTTCTTGCGGTAGGCTTTGCGAATCTGAAAGAACGGAGCATATTAACAAATTGTGCTCTGACGATCTGAAAGTACCATGAAGCACTTACCTCCGCTTCAGTAGCGCTTATTTCGACGCCCAGCAGACCGTACAGGTCGATTTCACTGAACTTTTTCACGTCTACCATGTTTGCGGGGATGAGCTGAATGGATATTCAGCGGTATTTTGGAGATAGAATAGGAATATTCCAAATTAAACGGCGAAAAAGTTCGAACACCGGCGGAAGGAAACTGGAAATCGTTTTACGATCGGTTGTATTGTAAACAACGTTTGACGTTTATGCATCTCACGTATTTTTTGTTTTGACATCTAAAATATTCAGCATGGATTACACTTTGAGAGCATCCGTTGATAGGGCTGCCAGCCATCTATTTGTAGCTCCTTCACTGCAAAAAAAAGTAATTCATAATCAACATTTCAGGCTGCCCGAAAAAAAAAATTACAGTGAAATTTTCAGTGGAAACAATTCTCGATGAACATTTTAAATGGTCCTATCTGCTTTGATCGATTCTCTTCATCGACTTTCTCTTTCGTCAATAACTCAGCTGCAAAACCTTCCCCTGTTGTATTTGACGTTTTGGACGCTAGATAAGAACCTCCTTTATCAAACTATGTGGTAGAATTAACGCGAAATCTGTTTGCATAGCAGTGGTTATGAAAAGAGAAAGTCGATTAAGAGAATCGATCAAAGCAGATAGGACCATTTGAAATGTTCATCGAGAATTCTCGATGAACATTTCAAATGGTCCTATCTGCTTTGATCGATAATTATTCTCTAACATTAATATTTATTGTCGACAATAAAAATGATTGTTATAATGTTGTACCCTTCCGAAAACGGCAAAGGTGCTACCTAGATGTACAATGAAGGTACATAATAAAATGTTGTTACAATGATTTTTATCGTATTTTTCATTTATTTTATTGTTAACATGATTCGATCATGAACAATAATGAACAACTCTATTACAATAAAAATTGTTGTTACATTAAATATTGATGTGTTTTCATTGTGGGCTACGTCACGAACAATAAAAATAAATCTAATTGAAGCATGCAGACTATGAGAGGGTCAGCAACACTGCCAATATAATTAAGATAGGCGCTGCCCGTATGGCTCTGGCTTTGACAGTTCGTTTGGCTGACCGATATCGGACTTGCTCTATTCGTTGCCAAGTCAATTGAACGCCTACGACCAGATCGGTTTGAGTTGAATTCAACTCACCTGCCTCTTCTAAATCCCGCTTAATGCAGACCTTTTCCTTCAGTCAATAATCATACAATAATAATAAAAAAAATCCACCACTTGAAGATATCAGGAAGGAATTCTCAGGTGGAAGCATATTTCATGGGCGATTCTCTCCAGTCGAATGTATTAACTCATCAACGACGCTCTACCACCAAGGAGGCGTGACCTAGGGAGATCGAGTTCAGGGGAGTTGGCCTGCATTTCTAACAAGTTCCGGATCAAATCTCAATCCAAAATAAGTAAAAAAAGGACTCACCCGTAACAGACATACTACCCCCTTCCCTTCCCGGGGCGATGTTTTATTTTTTCGATTTTTTTTAAGTCGATAAAGAAGATCTGTCTAGCCAACACATACACTCTAAAGAACACTGTTATTTTTTTTAATCAATAAATTCGCCAACCAACATTAAAATAACAATAATATATACTGTTATTGAAAAAAAATATATGGGGAAATCTCGAAAATTTCATTGTTAAGATACTTAACAACCCCCCTTTTTTATTGTAAATTTTCCATTTACCATGAAATTTACTGTTTAGTACAACATAAATCAAGGTAAATTTATTGTAGACGTAACAATATAAATCATTGTTAAGACAATAATTTTCGTCTTATTGTTACATTGTTTTTTAATGTATTTTTGTTGTTATTTTTTTTCGAGTGTATTCCTTTTGGAGAATTTTCAAAAAAAAAATGACACCTCGAAAATAAATTGATGAGCGTTTTAGTAGAATAATTGTATAGCTTTTTCGTCGATTTTTCCTTTTAATTCTACTACACTCAAAAATTTCCACACATTTTTATTGACGAATTTCCATGTGAAATTCCACATGATTTTCATGTGACCACACATAAACAGAATCCACTCAGAAGTAAACATGAAATTTATGTGTCAAATAAATGGTATGTGTGTTTACACATGACTTTTATGTGTACACATATGAAGTATGCGTCCGATACATAGATATCATTTGTTGATCACATAGCAAAAAATCGTCGGTCTTGTTTTCCGAGCTGAGCACCAATGCTACCGACGCCAGGAAGGCAGCTCCCACACCTCGACCCTACCTATCGACCCATCAACTCATGAACCGGGGACCAACGGCTTTACTTCCCTTCCGCGAAGGAAGACGTGATCAGAGATGTTATGCCTCAGAACATCCCGGTGGCACCGACTGGGATTGAACCCAGGCCTGCTGGGGTGAAACAAAAAATCAAGTGTTGGACACATAAAAACAATCTTTGAAATTATCTTAGCGTACTTTTGCATCACTTTTACGAGATGGATAATAACTAGGTAGGTCATGACTTTTCTCACACATTTCCTGTCAGTTTTCACAACTTTCACTAATTCACTTCCCTAATAAAAATGTTTTGGTTAATTTGCTTAACGACGTGTTTGGAGTATCATCCCAACCATTTGTGGAATAGTTCAATCATTTGGGTTACCGTTCATTTATGGTTTTTTTTTTATTAGGGTTTCACTCTTTACTTTCACTGTCACTTTGAACTATAACAGATACGTATCAACAATCAATACGAAACTAACGATTTTAAATTGGCTCACTACTTGACTAGCCTATTGGTCCCAAGCAAACGATTAACGTATCCCATTCTAGTCGAAATTCTAGTACTACGCAATGTTTGTTTTGATTCGCTATGAAAATTTGACAGATAAAATGAGGGGTTATTGGTTTTTCCTATGTTTCGAGGGGTGAATCGATTAGCTTGGGACCGAAGAGAGTACCAGAGCTGAGTCAATAAGTTGAGCACATTTCTTCGGGACCTTCTGGTCTTAGAGTTACCTCTATGTACGTATTGCGTTTACTACTTGCTTCAATGATCTTCTAACATGGAATACGTTTGAAATCAACCTAGTTTATTTTTGTGGCCATAGCAAACTGAGTTTACGCAGAGACGAATCAGCCCACGACCTCGAAACTAACAACAAAGGCAGTATCATTTACCGGTGGAAACTAACGATTTTAAATTGACTCACTAATTACATAGAGGTAACTCTAAGACCACTGGGTCCCGAAGAAAATCATTATTATTTTTGGCTCACTCAGTACCAGAACAACGGTCCCAAGCAGTCCCAAGCTATTTCACTCACCCCTGCATGTTCTGCATGAATCCACACACCCCTGATGTTATCTGTCAAACTTTCATAGCGAATCAAAACAAACATAGTGTAGTAATAGAATTTCAACTAGAATAGGGTACGTTAATCGTTTGCTTGGGACCAATAGGCTACTAAAGTGGTGAGCCAATTTAAAATCGTTAGTTTCGTATTGATTGTTGCTAATTATCTAGCCTATTGGTCCCAAGTCATCTATAAGCGTACTCCATTCTAGTCAAAATTCTAGTACTACACTATGTTTGTTTTGATTCGATATGAAAGTTTTACAGATAAACTGAGGGGTTCGTGGATTTTCCTATGTTTAGAGGGGTGCATCGATTAGCTTGGGACCGAAGATAGTACCAGAGCTGAGCCAAAAATTGAGCTCGTTTCTTCGGGACCTTCTGGTCTAAGTTACCTCTATGGTCGAGTCTATGGTATCATGGTATCTCTATTTGATGATGTATTGTTGTTGTTAGTTTGCTCACGTCATGGGCCACATTGCGCAGCATGAAACAAAAAAACGTTTTCATACAAGCGTCGGTACAAAAAATGTTTAGTTTCGAGTTGCGTAATGTGACCCCAGGTTTCCCGCATAAACGCGAACCATAACTTGACCTTCCCGAAAAGGGGTTAAACCAACCGGTGGAAATTAACGATTTTAAATTGGCTCACTACTTGACTAGCCTATTGGTCCCAAGTACATCTATAGGCGTACCCCATTCTAGTCGAAATTCTAGTACTACACTATGGTTTTTTTATTCACTATGAAATTTTAACAGATAAAATGAGGAGTTCGTGCATTTTCCTATGTTTCGAGGGGTGCATCGATTAGCTTGGGACCGAAGATAGTACCAGAGCTGAACCAAAAAGTTGAGCTCGTTTCTTCGGGACCTTCTGGTCTTAGAGTTACCTCTATGGTGATACGAAGCAAATCAACTGAATACTGTACCAAAACCGCAAATTCGCCACATCCAGATTTACGTTCAATCGGGAGATATTGGGCTCTGATGAAGCGGAAGCGGAAGCTTTCTTCTTTGAGATTTAGATGTGTCACTCCCCTCGGGAAAATCCACTAACCCCTCATTTTATCTGTCAAACTTTCATAGCGAATCAAAACAAACATTGTGTAGTAGTAGAATTTCGACTAGCATGGGGTACGTTAATCGTTTGCTTGGGACCAATAGGCTAGTCAAGTAGTGAGCCAATTTAAAATCGTTAGTTTCGTATTGATTGTTGGTATACCTGTACATACGATCCAATCAAAAAGTATAGATACTATAGATTCCATAGATAAGCGGAGGCACAAAAAGTTGTTTTGGCAACCATGAAAAAAAAATGATCTTACTGGCATCCGTGAAAAAAGTTCATGCCATCATAGAGCACTTCGTTGTGCAGTTTTGTTTTGTTTCGTGCGTAAAAGTTCAAAATGAAGTGCAAAGCAAATCTTTGCAATAATGAGTCGAGGAATGGTTTGCTTTATCTTTCCTTCTTCCGTTGTCCGCGAAATAAATCGGAATGTGGAGTGTGGAAAGCGTTTTGTGCTCATAATATTGCAATACTTCTCCCTCAAACAACACCATGATGACGTCATGCTCGTTTGGCTACACTAACTGACAGTTAGTTTGGCTACATTATACTTTACTTCCGCTTATCTACACGAAACGAAAATCAATTATTTTATTCATGTGTTTCACTTATACATTTTTGCCAAAAGATCAGCCTTATTGTAACATGTGCATCAAACATGTCAGCAACTTCCCACGCTTGCTATATTTGCTGGTCTCATAAGTGGCACCATGCCGCGACGAGACAAGCTATTCCAAAAAACCTTTTTCAGTCATCGAACCCATTTGAGCAATGCAATGCATAAATGAGTTCGATGAATTGAACGAAACGCATTCAGCAATTCTCACCAAAAGGCAGAAGTGTCAAATAACACTTTGGTTCATTCTTTCCCACTCTTGGTATCGATCACCAACGATCGAGTAAATAGCGAAAATACATAGTGGCTTCAAGTGTCTCCATTCTCAGCACCATATGTAAAATATTGTTCAATAAAACATTCTTAGTTTAACTTTCGAAGCGAAAGGTTCGTTTTTAGTAACTGCAATATCACGTCATGAAAACGTCAAATGGCGAAATAGTGAAAACGTTAAATTATACATTCCATAAGGCAAACCAAATAGGTCCTACAAGAATGCATAAAAGGTATGTGTGACCGCTTATACATTTCATTTGACACATGATCTTCATTAACTTTTTGCAAGGCGTTTGCTTATTAGTTGACTTATACCACAAACGAAGTGACAGACGACTAACTGGCGAAGAAATCCATTTAAATAATGTGGTTCACTACAATAAAATTTTCTTGGAAGCTTGTGCCATCATCCACCAGATGGGTTAGTTTTTTTGTTTTGATTTGAACATAGTTGATTTTGTGTACAATGATTCTTTGACAGTGTGCAAAGAGTGCGTATCATTTTGTCATTTTTTTATGCATTTCAGTTTTGAGTAGAGTGAAAGAGATAGAACCAAAACATTCTAATACATCTGGTGAAAATGCTAGTACAATCCAGTAGTAGTGTTGCCATGTGGTACCAGCCAGTAGTAGTGGTGTTGCCATGTGGTACACTGAAAAATTGAAGTAGCAGGTTAGTCACCAAAGTTTTCGAGCCGCTCCGTCTGTCACTTCGTTTGTGCTTATACATTTCATGAATAATTAGCTATGGAAATTTGCCAAAAGGTATAAGGAGATTTCTATCCGTGTATAGTATCTACACGGTAAGAAAAAAGTACCCAACGGAAAGTTCACTTTTACCTACTTTTGACTAGTGTGTCTCCTTTTCTCCTTCTAATGTTGTCAAAAATGGAGGAGCAAAACCACCCAACAGGGGTAGTAAAGTGTGGGAACCCAACGTTGAGTATAATCATATTTACCTACCGTTGGGCACAACTGACTTACTTTTGGTTAAAAAGCCAGTGGAAAATTCCATACGAACTGCACACAAGTAAATGAAAATTACTTTGACCCGGTTTACCTACTTTTGAGTTCCTGCACTATAGTGCCGAGATGAGTGAAAAGAACTTAATTTTGGGTACTTTTTTCTAACCGTGTATAATCAAAAAGGACTCCAGTAGAGTCGGTGTATAATGAGTCACGCCAAGAGTGAAGCCAAGTATACCTATTGAACTGTCAAATCGGCTACCTATCGTGCAAAGTAAATAAACATTACGATGCTATGAAAGGTCTACGAAAGATATTGCAATGAAATCCGGAGTGATTTGAGATTTGGGCGTAATTGCATTTGTAAACAAACACGTCAATCACCGATTTCTCACGAATAAAAGCTCAATCTCAAAAAGTAATAACACCATGAGGTAGAGGAATAATTCCTCTATCATTTGGTATAGTTTGTTTGTGAGATTGAGCTTTTATTCAAGAGAAATCAGTAATTGACGTGTTTGTTTACAAAAGCAATTACGCCCAAATCTCAAATCACTCTGGAAATATAAAATAAAATTGAAGAAATCATCATAAACACGCAGCGAGCATTAAATGGTCATGGGATACGTTTGGTTTTGATCAGTATTGAGAATTTCTACTATTTTTTGATAAGATAATTTGACAAAATCACTGATATTATGATTCACTACAGCCGTTATTTTTGGTTCTCGCTAGAAGTCATTTAAAGTTGATGTAGAAGTCCTCTGTTGCCAAGTGAAAAGAAAGGGAATCCTCCGGAAACCGTGATGCGAGTTCAACTGTTTTTCTTTTGGCGTGACTCATTATACACCGACTCTAGACTCCAGTATTCTCGAGAAATTTACGGGTAAATCCTCGATTTCCTTCTTATCGCTATCGTGATTTTAGTGCGGAATATATAGGTCGTACTGTATTTTCAAAACTTAGATTCCGGGGTGTATACTGTGCTGACATCAACAAATTTTTATGGTTATGTTTTCAAAAACAAAGATACGTAAAATAAAATCACTTCTCATTCTCAAAGTTCTCAACAGTCCCAAAAAGTATTACAAAAGTTCTAATTATTCGATCTCTATTCAAAAGGAAGTGCTTCTTTCTAAAATTTCAGGGAAGATGTTCAAATTCACTAAGGATGTTACCTTTGCCGGTTACACCTTGTTGCTTCCGAGCGTCAGCGTCGGAAACGTTGCTCAGCTGGCCACCGATCTGCTGATAGAAACGCTGAAACTGGAGAAAATCGGCCTGCTCTGGCATCCGGCTTTGATTCCAATCGTTGGCCCACCAGCCTACGATCACGACAAAGACCGTATAACCACCACCGCTGAACTGTACGTCTCGGAGGAACACAAGCTGTTGGTGCTTCAGATCCGGTCTCCTCTGGTAGGTGCGCTGCAAGCAGATTTACTGGGCAAACTCACCGATTTCGTCCGAGATCGTCAGCTGGCGGAAGTGATCGTACTGAGCAGTAGCTTCGCCCACGAAAACCACCAGGTGGGAGCGCGACCGTACAAGTATATGGCCAATGAAAAGTTTCTTTCCCACCACTCCGGGGCGGTCGAGAAGTTGCAGTGGAATCAGCTGGAAGGCAACGTGATTCACGGAGGTGGCTATGCGGTCAAGCTATTGAACGCTTGCAGCGAGAAGGATGTGGCTGGCTTTGTGCTCTTTACGTACGTTTCCGAGGGAGATAATACGGTGGATGCCGTGCAGTTGGTCTCGTTGGTGGACCAGTTGAAGAAGCCACTGTTGCCGAGGGAGGAGGATGGCGTTAAGATTAAGCTGGCCATTCCGAGCTCGTGGAAGCATCTGTTCGGCAATGCGCCACCGGTCAATGTGTATTGAGGGGTGAGCGGAGGGAAGGAGAGAATAAACGGGACGAGGTTTTGGAAATGGTTGGTTGTTTTGAATGGTTGAAGAAGCCCACCGTGGTTACTCATCAGCTTGGACATTGGCAGAAATGGATGGTCAGTCTTCTCACTCATCTTTGTAAAAGTGCCATTCACAATGTTTCATAATACACCATCAGATGGACAAAAGCCTTGCTGATAGGTATGTATATTGGTATGGAAATGATTGTTGATTTTCAATAGGAAATTACATAGTTAAATTTAAACCAGAAATCAGTATCCTATTCGCTAGCTTGCAGTCAGGCACACTTGCCGAACTAAAATAGAAGTATATCAAACTCGCAATTCAATTCAAATAAAACTGCAATTCAACCATAGCATGAATTGCAGTTGCTCCTGAATCTCATGCTGGTAGATGCTGACGCACGGTTTACATTATGATGACTACTTTTTAATACAGTTTTAGTATACTAGAGCCAGCAAAGTTTTAACACCTCATAATGGTCTGTTTACATATGTGCTGGCTCATAATGCGGATTAACCAAAATTAGTGTAATCTGCTCAAGTTTCTGGCCAAAATTGATGCGCTAATGTTAATCAGCACTGAAAAACTGTTTACATCATGACCATTGGTTTGCGAACGACAGGCTCACTTGCACATGTGTAAACACCACATAAGGGGTGTTTACACTTGTACTGGTGCTAGTAATTGTAATTGTTCAATGTATAGGCTGTGTCAACCGCTAAGTTGGCTTATCTCGGGTCAAAACCCCCTAGTCTATACACCTTATGTCCTTCCCGTTGCACTCGTCAACTCGTGCGATACTCTAGACACACATGGGTGGTCGTATCCGGGTCCTCCCCAGGGTAGGCTCGTGTCCGTCCTAGTTCTGGTACATTAACTTATCTCTATGCATGGTAATAATACTTTACAACTCACCTTTTGATTATAATATCGATAATGCTGGAACTATATGAAGGTTAGTGATCATTATGTAACGTGCCAGTGCGGTGTTACTCCCAGCACTGATGAGACCCTCGTCTCCAAGCCTCAGGGTCGGCACACGCTCGTGATAATTCCGCGTACCAAGAAAACACTCAAAGTTCACTTAAGACAAACTCCCACTTTATTCGTTTTGATGACACTCACTTCACGGACGGTCTCCCACTTCCTTAGATGTCTACTCCTACCTTGTGCTAGCACTACTCTTCTATTGTCTTCGGGGCCCCTTCACCTGCCACTGCCGTCGTCGTCGTTCCTCTCCTTCCTCTGGTACCGCATCACCTTCTTGGGCCAGGGGTGGACGCCTCTACCTGTCCCGTACGCCCCTCGAGCACAAACGAAGTGACAGACGGAGCGGCTCGAAAACTTTGGTGACCTGCTATTGCAATTTTTCAGTGTACCACATGGCAACACCACTACCACTGGATTGTACCACATGGCAACACTACTACTGGATTGAACTTGATTGAACTAGCATTTTCACTAAATGTACTAGAATGTTTTGGTTCTATCTCTTTCACTCTATTCAAAACTGAAATGCATAAAAAATGACAAAAATGATACACTCTTTGCACACTGACAAAAAATCATTGTACACAAAATCAACTTTGTTCAAATCAAAACAAAAAAACTAACCCATCTGGTGGATGATGGCATAAGCTTCCAAGAAAATTCTATTACAGTGAACCACATTATTTAAATGGATTTCTTCGCCAGTAAGTCGTCTGTCACTTCGTTTGTGCCTCGAGTATGGTGACGGACTCGAGGTTTCAACGAACCACAAGGGTAAGTTGACTTGCCTGGATTGGTGGCACACACTGTAGCTGAGGGATCAGATTCTCGAACTACGATTCGGACACACTACCGGCGATTGGCGTGGTCGACTCCGGAAAAATACGTTGAGTTCACAAATGTTACGGTAAAACCGCGAGGTCCTGTGGGCGCGAAGGAGAATTCGAAATGGCGGTTATCGACCTGATCTCACTAGACAACGGTTGGATCTGGTTCGGGGTTTTCTTGGTGATGGAAATTACCTGGCTGTCCAATGATACGTGGCAACTTCCTCTATAACTTCTTCAAACTTTCAACTTAGCTCACTTTAGCACTTTAGCTTTAGTTTTCACCTTCAAACTATTAATTTTTAGCTTTGTCTTTCGCTATGTGACCGTAGTCTATAATGATCACCAGGCTTATGACCACAAACGAAGTGACAGACGACTAACTGGCGAAGAAATCCATTAAAATAATGTGGTTCACTGTAATAGAATTTTCTTGGAAGCTTGTGCCATCATCCACCAGATGGGTTAGTTTTTTTGTTTTGATTTGAACAAAGTTGATTTTGTGTACAATGGTTCTTTGACAGTGTGCAAAGAGTGCGTATCATTTTGTCATTTTTTTTATGCATTTCAGTTTTGAGTAGAGTGAAAGAGATAGAACCAAAATATTCTAGTACATATGGTGAAAATGCTAGTTCAATCCAATAGTAGTGTTGCCATGTGGTACAATCCAGTAGTAGTGGTGTTGCCATGTGGTACACTGAAAAATTGCAATAGAAGGTTAGTCACCAAAGTTTTCGAGCCGCTCCGTCTGTCACTTCGTTTGTGCTTATGACTGTGCCTCTTGGTGGACGATGACCCCGAACCGTGACCGTTGAACCGTCGTACGTGCCACGAATTCTCCACGCAATGGCCCCGATTACGCCACCCCTATGGACGTCCATTCATGACTGCACACAGCGTGCTCTGGTGGTGGCTAGTGGCATTGTTCTACAGTTTATAGGGAAGTCTCCTACTGGCTGCGTTCGTGGGGATTCTGGGACGTTTTAAACGCTGTCCAGACTGGAGAGTTATAACATGTTATAACGGTTGTCAAATAATTGCAACACAGCAACCACCATCAAGATAGCGCTATAACATGTTATAACTCTGTAGTCTGAACGTACTATTACCTGTGGAAATGCAATGCACATAGCTTCACATTGGCGAACCCCCCGTATAATCTCTACATATGTTGTGAAGCTTGGCAGCCCTGGTGTAGAGAATATTATAACCACTCTGTTCATTACCGCTTTCAGACGCGTGCATTTTGTATTCTTTTATTTTACAAGTGAAATAAAACGTGTTCTTTTGTACTTGGTAAATTGTATCGCGTGACAAATTCATCGGTGCACTCGTCTATGGACGAGTGCACCGATGAATTTGAGTTCATTCACTCGAGAAAAAGTGACACAACAGCGGGGCCCTGTTTACTAAAACTGAACACATGAATAATGCTCGCATAACATTTGAAAATGGATTATCAATTTTTCTAAACAACTTGCAAGGTCCTTGTCACGAGAACCGAAGAATGCTTACATAAACCAAGAGCACTATAGGGAAGGGGAGAATTTTTCCTACCCGTTGGTGTTGTTAATTTGCGTGGGCGTATTCGGTTCGCGCGAAAAGAGCTTAACATGTTTTGTGTACAAAAGTTGATAGGCCCGTTTCAAATGTCATGCGAGTATTATTCAAGTGTTCATTTTTAGTAAACAGGGCCCCACTGTTGTCACTTTTTGTCGAGCGAGTGATCTCAAATCCATCCGTGTACTCGTACTCGAGAAAAAGTGACACAAGCTGCGGGCAATGTTTACTAATCGTGAACACCATATGACATAACACTCACCATCACATTCTTCCCAAATGAAATTTTAGTTGGGAATGTGCTTGCATTTGTCATGGTGGCTTAACTGAAGCGTTAAGCAAGCCACTACATTTTGAACTTAACAGTGATGCCAGTTCTTTTTTAAAAACAATTTAGTAGATGTCAACTCTTGAGAATGATAAGGGTAGAGTCGGTGTATAATGAGTCACGCCAAGAGTGAAGCCGAGTCTACCTATTGAACTGTCAAACCGGCTACCTATCGTGCAAAGTAAATAAACATTACGATGCTATGAAAGGTCCACGAAAGGTATTGCAATAAAATATAAAATATAATCGAAGAAATGAGCATATACACGCAGTGAGCGCTAAAGTGTCATGGGATACGCTCGGTTATGATTAGTAATGAGAATTTCTACTATTTTTTGTTAAGATGATTTGACAAAATCACTGATATAATGATTTACTACAGCCGCAATATTTTTTCTCTCGCTAGAAGTCATTTGAAGTTGTTGTAGAAGTCCTCTGTTGCCAAGTGAAAAGAATGGGAATCTTCCGAAAACCGTGATGCGAGTTCAACTGTTTTTCTCTTGGCGTGACTCATTATACACCGACTCTAGATAAGGGGACCAAGGCATCCCACTGAAGACATATACAGTAATGATCCGATTTTGTCAGCCCCCTTTTTGAAAAACTTTTCTAATGTTCCACCCATGCGCTTTTTCAGTGGTCTTATTGCACCAAAGTATGCTTTAAACACCTATCATGAAGATGCATGAAAATAATTTAGAATTGAGATTTTATGAAATTATTTAATGATAAAAGTCTGATGCGCAGAGGGGCCGAAAAAATCGAGTCATTACTATACCACATACTAAATAAACGAATACAGAATATATATATTGTTTGCTATGCACACATTAAAGTGATGAGCGGTGCTAGAAAAAGCATTCATTAGTGATGCATTACCACGTTTAAAAACTTGTTTCCAGCAAAACAAAAATCACACTAAATAATCAAAACAAATCCTGAGCTTCTGAGAATTTCTCCAACGGATTCGTACACGGATAGAAATCTCCTTATACCTTTAGGCAATCATCTATTACTGATTATTCATAAAATGTATAAGCACAGACAAACAGACATAACTCTTAGAAGACAATTCTTTAAAAAATATCGTCAAGCGTATTTTGCATGCGGACTAGCACCATTTATCATCCACATTCCCAAGCAATGTTTTGCAACCGGAGCATCCCTCGTGCATGAAATTTTTTCACTAGTTGCTTTTACCTCGGTCTGTCAACGCGTCAGCTGTGTTGAATAAAAACAAAACAGATGGAAGTCAGTGATGTCGGTTCTATGAAATTTTCCGAAGATGT